GGACTATAGTATGATCTATAGTCTGGACAATAGAGTGATCTATAGACTGGACTACAGAGTGATCTATAGCCTGGACTATATAGTGATCTATAGCCTGGACTATAAAGTGTTCTATAGTCTCGACTATAGAGTGATCTATAGTCTGGACTATTAAGTGATCTATAGTCTGGACTATAGAGTGATCTATAGCCTGGACTATAGAATGATCTATAGCCTGGTCTATATAGTGACCTATAGTCTGGACTATGGGGTGATCTATACTCTGAACTATAGAGTGATCAATAGTCTTACTATAGAGTGATCAATAGTCTGACTATAGAGTGATAAAGTGATCTACAGTCTGGACTATAGAGTGATCTATAGCCTGGACTATAGAATGATATATAGCCTGGTCCATATAGTGACCTATAGCCTGGATTATTGACTGATCTATAGTCTGAACGAACGACTAGTACAATACAAACATAGAGACGAACCTATTATACCCTATACCAAAATAGAAAAAAGAGCGCATTCTTTTACCGTTCTCTCTCTCTCTCTCTCTCACACACAAACACATATACACGCACCTTCAATTACTCACACTTCAAAAGTTTAGCAAAATATTAAAAAAAATACTGTTAATAATACATATAAAACAAAAGTAAAGATAAAAATTATTTTAACAATAAAAAATTTAAACATGTTTTTTTAAAAAAATAGCAATAATACCATGAAATGTAAAGTTAGTCGAAAGAAAAGGTACTATTTAATGTTTCTTTAATAATAATAAAAAAATTTAAAGAATTTTGTATTTTTCTTTCTTTTACATTTTACTGGAAATATGAATTTTACACGATATTATTGTAAAAGAAATAAACATAAGAAAATGACAAGAAAACGGAAGTATGCCAAATGTATACAAACGTCAAAAGAGAGAAAGAGCAGCTTAAATTGTAATTGGTATAATAAGAGAGTATTTTAGTAGAGGTATTCATAGCAATGATCTGCAGTATTAACTATAAACTGATCTATAGTCTGGACTATAGACTGATCTCTAGACTGGACCATATCTAGGTAGGACTATAGACTGATCTATAGTCTGGACCATAGAATGATCTATAGTCTGGACTATAGAATAATCTATAGTCAGGACTATAGAACGATCTATAGTCTGGACCGTAGAATGATCTATAGTCTGGAGCATAGAATGATCTATAGTGTGGACTATAGAATGATCTATAGTCTGGACTGTACACTGATCTATAATATGGACTATAGACTGATTTATAGTCAGGACTTTACACTGATCTATAATCTGGACTATAGACTGATCTGTAGTGTAAACTATAGAATGATCCATAGAATGATATATAGTCTGGACTATAGAATGATCTATAGTCTGGACTATAGAATGATCTATAGTCTGGACTATAGAATGATCTATAGTCTAGACTATAGAATGATCTATAGTCTGGACTATAGAATGATCTATAGTCTTGACTGTACACTGATCTATAATCAGGACTATAGGCTGATCTGTAGTGTAAACTACAGAATGATCTATAGTCTGGACCATAGAATGATCTATAGTCTGGACTATGGAATGATCTATAGTCTTGACTGTACACTGATCTATAATCAGGACTATAGACTGATCTGTAGTGTAAACTACAGAATGATCTATAGTCTGGACCACAGAATGATCTATAGTCTGGACCATAGAATGAACTATAGTCTGGACTATAGAATGATCTATAATCTGGACCATAGAATGATCTTTAGTCTGCACTATAGAATGATCTATAGTCTGAAATGTATAATGATCTATAGTCTGGACCATAGAACGATCTATAGAATGGACTATAGAATGAAGGACTATAGTCTGGACTATAGAATGAAGGACTATAGAATGATCTAAAGCCTGACTATAGAATGATCTATAGTCTGCATTATAGACTGATCTATAGTCTGGACTATAGACTGATCTATAGTATAAACTGAGGACTGAACTATAAACTAATCAATAGTCAGAACTATAAAATGATCTTCAGTCTGCACTATAGAATATCATAATGTATTGTCTTGAAGATCAATAATCCTCCAGAGTTACTGCTAGCACGATCAGATCTTTTCAAACATGTAACGTATTAAGTGAATACCCTTAATATATTAAAATGTAAATACTTTAATAGAGGAATAAAAAATAATAACAATACACAAAAACTCACGCTTCAATTAACAAAAAAACTACCGTTACTGGCCATCACATAGTAAAACATACTCCCCCTCCCATGCCCTCCCCTCCCCCAAAAAAACGACAATTTATCCACTGACTGATTATTGGTCAATACAAATTGACATAATGAATGAAATATTAAACATTATAACAATCAACAAACTATGATTACACTTACAGGGTGGATAGGTAAATCAAATTAAATAATAATAATAATAATAAAAAAGTGATTTATTTGATTTAAATTGAACACAAAAAGAAAACCTTGACTCTTATTGTTCACTTAAACTAAACAGAGTCAAGTAGATTTAATTGCTTTCATCATGAGCATTTTATATTTCTTTAACACGTGACGGATGTGTATAAACAAATGTCAACAAACAATTAATTTACACACCCTGTAATAAAAATAACTAAATAAACTTAAAAAATAATAACTAAACAGTAATAAAACAAATAAATTTTGTTATCAGTTTAATAGAAATTTGCTGCAATTATATACATACATATAGTTAGGTTAGGACTTGTTATTGTAATAGTTTTGGAAGTAATAATTTGTAATTTTATTATTATTATTAATGTTGTAAATTATTTTAGTAATTAACATTTAGAAAAGTTTAATGTAGAGAAATTACATTCTTAAAGATTTGACTTAAGATCAAATTTTCTTGTTTGACAATCGATAATTAAAGATCAAATAGTCCTTCTATGAAAACAATCATTAAAGATTAAATTGATCTACTTTAAGATTCACAATTAATGATCAAATTGTAATAATCAGTCTACTTTATGATCCACAATGTTAGATCAAATTGATGGACTAGGAAACACATCATTGGAAAACAAATTGTTTTATTTTTAGATCCACGCATACCGATCTATAGTCTTGACTATAGACTGATCTATTGTCTGGACCATAGACTGAATTATTGTCTGGACTATAGACTGATCTATTGTTTGGACTATAGACTGATCTCTTATCTGGACTATAGACTGATCTCTTATCTGGACTATAGACTGGTCTATAGTCTGGACTATAGACTGGTCTATAGTCTGGACTATAGACTGGTCTATAGTCTGGACTATAGACTGGTCTATAGTCTGGACTATAGACTGATCTATAGTCTGGACTATAGAGTGATCTATAGTCTGGACTATAGAGTGATCTATAGTCTGGACTATAGAGTGATCTATAGTCTGGACTATAGATTAATCTAAAGTGTGGACTATAGACTAATCTATAGTGGGGACTATAGACTGATCTATAGTCTGGACTATAGACTGATCTATAGTCTGGACTATAGACTGATCTATAGTCTGGACTATAGACTGATCTATAGTCTGGACTATAGACTGATCTATAGTCTGGACTATAGGCTGTTCTATAGTCCTAACTATAGACTGATCTATAGTCCTGACTATAGACTGATCTATAGTCCTGACTATAGACTGATCTATAGTCCTGACTATAGACTGCTCTATAGTCCTGACTATAGACTACTCTATAGTCCTGACTATAGACTGCTCTATAGTCCTGACTATAGTCTGCTCTATAGTCTGGACTATAGACTAATCTATAGTCTGGAGTATAGACTAATCTATAGTCTGGAGTATAGACTAATCTATCGTCTGGAGTATAGACTGATCTATAGTCTTGATTATAGACTGATTTATAGTCTGGACTATAGACTGATCTATAGTCTGGACTATAGACTGATCTATAGTCTGGACTATAGACTAATCTATAAACTGGACTACAGACTAATCTATAGTCTGGAGTATAGACTAATCTATAGTCTGCAGTATAGACTAATCTATTGTCTGGAGTATAGACTAATCTATTGTCTGGAGTATAGACTGATCTATAGTCTTGACTATTGACTGATCTATAGTCATGACTATAGATTGATCTATAGTCTTGAGTGTAGACTGGTGTATAGTCTGGAGTATAGGCTGATCTAAAGTTTTGACTATAGATTGATATATAGCCTTGAGTGTAGATTGATCTAAAGCCTGAATATAGAATGATCTATAGTTTTGACTATAGAGTCTATAGTCAAGACTGATCTATAATCTTGATTTACTATAGACTAATCTGTAGTCTTGACTATAGACTGATCTATAGTCTTGGCTATAGACAAATCTATTGTCTTGACTATAGGCTGATCTATGGTCTGGACTATAGACTGATCTATAGTTTTGACTATAGAGTCTATAGTGAAGACTGATCTATAGTCTTGATTATAGACGAATCTTTAATCTGGACTTTTGACTGATGTAGCGTAGACTATATACTGATCTATAGCTTTGACTATAAAATGTTCTTTATCCTGGACTACTATGGCCTAGTTGATAATGATGTTTAATTGTGACTATGTAATGATATATGTGTGGACTATGTGGTGTTCTATAGTGCGGATTATAGACTCCAGCCTAGATTGTGAACTGATCTATAATCTGAAACATAGATTAATCTATAGTTTAAACTAAATAAACATCACGAACAGACCTATTAATTACATTAATATTTATACAAGCACACGCGGAATATAACACAGTGTTTTATAACATTAAATTACTTGTGTTCTTCTAACTGGTAGAAACTTTCCGTTTCGTAGAAACCGACACCAAAAACCTGTCTAGTAAGAATGTAATTCTATTTAAGGCTATTATTTCTATAATTTAAATAAAGTTGATCTTGACCGCGTTTATTAAAACTTATAAATTACATATTATGAAAGCAAAAATCATATTAAATATGTATAGTTTATTTTTCACTTACCTTAAGCAAATTTTTATGAAAAGTTATGTCCTCTAGGCGGCAATTAAAGTTGAATATGAAATTTGTTTAGATTTCGTTATTTAAATTTGCACTATTTTTTATTGATTTAACTAAGAATGTAAACTTTAGTTTAGATTCTCTTTTTTGAACTCAATTAACTTATTATTAATAAATTATTTTCTTATTTTTTTACACAATTTTGAATAATTTTTTTATACTTTAATTTGCTAGGAATTAATTGTTGTTGGTTTTTTTCCAATAATTTAGAAAATGTTGTTTAAAATTGCTGCTGCTGTTGTTTGCTTAAAGCTCATTATTCGACTTTCAACAAGTTTGAATCACTCAACAATGGCAAAAATAAATGAGTTGATCATAAAATAGTAGTGGATTTCAAATTGTATGAAACAAATAAGAATTTGTAATTGTAGCATTAAAGCGACGACGTTCAGAAAAATTTTACTATATGAATCAAGCTATAATTGCTCTATGGCCAAGACTACTCTATAGTCCAGACTATAGACTGCTCTATAGTCCAGACTATAGACTGTTCTATAGTACAGACTATTGACTGTTCTATAGTCCAGACTATAGACTACTCTATAGTCCAGACTATAGACTACTCTATAGTCCAGACTATAGACTGTTCTATAGTCCAGACTATAGACTGTTCTATAGTCCAGACTATAGACTGTTCTATAGTCCAGACTATAGACTGTTCTATAGTCCAGACTATAGACTGTTCTATAGTCCAGACTATAGACTGTTCTATAGTCCAGACTATAGACTGTTCTATAGTCCAGACTATAGACTGTTCTATAGTCCAGACTATAGACTGTTCTATAGTCCAGACTATAGACTGTTCTATAGTCCAGACTATAGACTGTTCTATAGTCCAGACTATAGACTGTTCTATAGTCCAGACTATAGACTATTCTATAGTCCAGACTATAGACTATTCTATAGTCCAGACTATAGACTGTTCTATAGTCCAGACTATAGACTGTTCTATAGTCCAGACTATAGACTGTTCTATAGTCCAGACTATAGACTAATCTATAGTCCAGACTATAGACTAATCTATAGTCCAGACTATAGACTACTCTATAGTCCAGACTATAGACTAATCTATAGTCCAGATTATAGACTAATCTATAGTCCAACTATAGACTAGTTTATAGTCCAGACTATAGACTAATCTATAGTCCAGACTATAGACTATTCTATAGAAGAGACTAATCTGTAGACTAATCTATAGTCCAGACTATAGGCTATTCTATTGTACAGACTATAGACTATTCTATAGTCCAGACTATAGACTATTCTATAGTCCAGACTATAGACTATTCTATAGTCCAGACTATAGACTATTCTATAGTCCAGACTATAGACAATTCTATAGTCCAGACTATAGACTATTCTATAGTCCAGACTATTGACTATTCTATAGTCCAGACTATTGACTATTCCATAGTCCAGACTATTGACTATTCCATAGCCCAGACTATAGACTAATCTATAGTCCAGACTATAAACTATTCTATAGAGAAATCTATAGTCCAGACTATAAACTAATCTATAGTCCAGGCTATAGACTTATCTATAGTCCAGACTATAGACTGTTCTATAGTCCAGACTATAGACTATTCTATAGCCCAGACTATAGACTATTCTACAGAAGAGACTAATCTGTAGACTAATCTATAGTCCAGACTATAGACTATTCTATAGTCCCGTCTATTGACTATAAGTCTGGACTATAGAATAGGCTACAGTCAGAACAATAGAATAGTCTATAGTCTGGACTATAGAATAGTCTACAATCTGGACTATAGAATAGTCTACAATCTGGACTATAGAATAGTCTACAATCTGGACTATAGAATAGTCTACAATCTGGACTATAGAATAGTCTACAGTCTGGACTATATACTATTCCATAGTCTGGACTATAGAATAGTCTATATTCTGGACTATAGAATAGTCTATAGTCTGGACTATAGAATAGTCTATAGTCTGGACTATAGAATAGTCTATAGTCTGAACTATAGAATAGTCTATAGTCTGGACTATAGAATAGTCTATAGTCTGGACTATAGAATAGTCTATAGTCTGGACTATAGAATAGTCTATAGTCTGGACTATAGAATAGTCTATAGTCTGGACTATATAATAGTCTATAGTCTGGACTATAGATTAGTCTAAAGTCTGGACTATAGAATAGTCTATAGTCTGGACTATAGATTAGTCTATAGTCCAGACTATAGACTATTCTATAGTCCCGTCTATTGACTATTCTATAGTCCAGACTATAGACTATTCTATAGAAGAGACTAATCTGTAGACTAATCTATAGTCCAGACTATAGAGTATTCTATTGTACAGAATATAGACTATTCTATTCTATTCTATATTCCAGACTATAGACTATTCTATTCTATAGTCCAGACTATAGACTATTCTATTCTATAGTCCAGACTATAGACTATTCCATAGTCCGGACTATAGATTATTCTATAGTCCAGACTATAGACTATTCTATAGTCTGGACTATAGAATAGTCTATAGTCTATACTATATAGTCCAGACTATAGACTATTCTATAGTCCAGACTATAGACTATTATATAGTCCAGACTATAAACTATTCTATAGGCCACACTATGGACTATTCTATAAAAGTGACTAATCTGTAGACTAATCTATAGTTCAGACTATAATATTATTTATAGTCCAGGCTATATTCTTATCTATAGTCCAGACTATAGCCTAATCTATAGTTCAAACTATAGACCAGACTATAGACTTATCTACAGTCCAGACTATAGACCTATCTATAGTCCAGATTATTAAATAATCTTCAGTCCAAACTATTTCCTAATGTATAGTTCAGACTAGAGACTAATCAAAATTTCAGACTAAAGACTTATCCATAGTCCAGGTAAATCTGAAGTCCAGAATGTTGATTACTCTATAATTCAGAATAGAGGCGAATCTATAAACCAGACTATAAATAAATCGATAACAGTATAAAAAGCATTTCGTCTGCTGCCTGTCGCTTTCATTATGTTTCAATAGCTGTCGAAGACCAAACTTGGTTTGAACAAAAGTTAATGCTCTTGTTTGTTGGAATGTGTATGTTCGCTTAATGAGGCTGTGTGACTCTCAGATACAAAATAAATTAATATAATTAAAAAAATAAATAAATATTAATTTATTTGTAAATTTAGGAATGAAAAAAAAATGTGCACAGAATACAAAGCAATTTGAAAACAAGATGAGACCTGTCTGTCTCTGTTATCTGTTAAACTAGCCCAGAAAAAAATCAAAGATTAAATTAAGGAAAAAATTATGAAATTTACTAAAAGTTAGACAATTTTTAGGCATTCCACTTTATAAATGAAATCTTTGCGATACATATTAAATATTTTTTGTTGTAGTTAATTATTATTATTATTATTAACACTTGTTTTTATTTTTGTCTTAAAAAAAAACACTTGTAGAAAAAACTTCAAACCAATATTAATTTCTTTCTTTGCATTTTTTTAATTACTCACTTTATATGTATGTAGTTATTTCATTATTATTTGTTTATTAACAACACTATTTAGTTTATTTGTTTAATAATTTAGTTATTATTAGATTAGATTTCTTTTATTTTTCATCATAAATTTTTAACCACAAACACACACACACACACTTCAATTCTATTAAAATTGTTGTTTTCTTTTATATACAATTCCTCTTTTCTTTGCGCTTTTCTCAGCTTCTTCTCGCAACAATTGTCTATCCAACAATGAAAATTGTAAGACAGTCAGACAACAAAACAACATAACGACAATCAAAACAACATGATCACGAAACTAACAACAACAATAATGAAGTTTAAATTTTAATGTCAGTTTTTTTATTGTTGTTTTCTTCACATAAGTCCAGCTTATTTGACAGTTTGACAAACAAAAGCTTTTGTTTATGTTTTGTTAGGGTATTGCCAGCATAAAGTTTGTATTTATTAAAGAAATGACAACCAATCAGTACTTTAACGGTTTTATGACTGACAGGGATTTTTAAATATGTAAATAAAATTAAAAAATATCGGGTAAAAATAATGAGTAATACATAATTATGATAAATTTTAGATAAGAACAGGGGCGTCGTAATACATTTAAGGAATTTAAAGAGATAAATTAGTTTATAGAATTAGACTATAGAATAGGCTGTAATCTGGACTATGGACTAGAGATTAGTCTATAGTCTGGACTATAGAATAGTCTATAGTCTGGACTACAGAATAGCCTGTAGTCTGGACTATGTAATAGTCTATTGTCTGGACTATAGAATAGTCTGTAGTCTGGACTATAGAATAGTCTACAGTCTGGACTATAGAATAGTCTACATTCTGGACTATAGAATAGTCTACAGTCTGGACTATAGAATAGTCTACAGTCTGGACTATAGAATAGTCTATAGTCTGGACTATAGAATAGTCTATAGTCTGGACTATAGAATAGTCTATAGTCTGGACTATAGAATAGTCTATAGTCTGGCCTATAGAATAGTCTATAGTCTGGTCTATAGATTAGTCTATAGTCTGGTCTATAGATTAGTCTATAGTCTGGACTATAGATTAGTCTATAGTCTGGACTATAGATTAGTCTATAGTCTGGACTATAGATTAGTCTATAGTCTGGACTATAGATTAGTCTATAGTCTGGACTATAGAATAGTCTATAGTCTGGACTATAGAATAGTCTATAGTCTGGACTATAGAATAGTCTATAGTCTGGACTATAAAATAGTCTATAGTCTGGACTATAGAATAGTCTATTGTCTGGACTATAGAATAGTCTATAGTCTGGACTATAGAATAGTCTATTGTTTGGACTATAGAATAGTCTATAGTCTGGACTATAGAATAGTCTATAGTCTGGACTATAGAATAGTCTATAGTCTGGACTATAGAATAGTCTATAGTCTGGACTATGGAATAGTCTATAGTCTGGACTATAGATTAGTCTATAGTCTGGACTATAGAATAGTCTAAAATCTGGACTATAGATTAGTCTAAAGTCTGGACTATAGAATAGTCTATAGTCTGGACTATAGATTAGTCTATAGTCTGGACTATAGAATAGTCTATAGTCTGGACTATAGATTAGTCTGTAGTCTGGACTATAGATTAGTCTATAGTCTGGACTATAGATTAGTCTATAGTCTGGACTATAGATTAGTCTATAGTCTGGACTATAGATTAGTCTATAGTCTGGACTATAGATTAGTCTATAGTCTGGACTATAGATTAGTCTATAGTCGGGACTATAGATTAGTCTATAGTCTGGACTATGGAATAGTCTATAGTCTGGACTATAGATTAGTCTATTGTCTGGACTATAGAATTGTCTATAGTCTGGACTATAGAATAGTCTATAGTCTGGACTATAGAATAGTCTATAGTCTGGACTATAGAATAGTCTATAGTCTGGACTATAGAATAGTCTATAGTCTGGACTATAGAATAGTCTATAGTCTGGACTATAGAATAATCTATAGTCTGGACTATAGAATAGTCTATAGTCTGGACTATAGAATAGTCTATAGTCTGGACTATAGAATAGTCTATAGTCTGGACTATAGAATAGTCTATAGTCTGGACTATAGAATAGTCTATAGTCTGGACTATAGAATAGTCTATAGTCTGGACTATAGAATAGTCTATAGTCTGGACTATAGAATAGTCTATAGTCTGGACTATAGAATAGTCTATAGTCTGGACTATAGAATAGTCTATAGTCTGGACTATATAATAGTCTATTGTCTGGACTATAGAATAGTCTGTAGTCTGTACTATAGAATAGTCTACAGTCTGGATTATAGAATAGTCTATAGTCTGGACTATAGAATAGTCTATAGTGTGGACTATAGATTAGTCTATAGTGTGGACTATAGAATAGTCTATAGTCTGGACAATAGAATAGTCTATAGACTGCACTATAGAATAGTCCATAGTTTGAACTATGGAACAGTCTATAGTCTGGACTATAAAACAGTCCATAGTCCGTTCTATAGATTAGTCTATAGTTTGGACTTATCAACAAACATAGCTGAAAAGTCAAAAACATAAACGCCTCTGCTGCTTGGCACTACGATTTCCTGCATAAACTGTAAATTTTTTTAACAAAAATAATCAATAAAAAAAAACACCGACAAAGCTGACCAAAAACCTGTTAAATAGATAAAACTTAAACGTTATCTATAAATAAATATTTTCTTTTAATAATATACCAAAATTTTCTAAATATTTTTTTATTTGATTTCATTTTATTTTATCATTTTTTTTAAATTTCACTTTAACTTTATTATTTCATATCTTTGTGTTTTGTTATTTTTATAATAATAATAATAATTCATTAAAAATCTAATAATAATTAAATTATAAAACATATTTGTTAAATATTTATAAGAAAAAAAAAGAAGTAAATTAATAAAAGAAACAAATTCATAAAAAGAATAAACTATAAATCAAAGGTTTAAAATTGTTAAGCCTTAATTCAATTTTTTAAATCAAATTAAAATTTATTACTTCACCATTCTATAAAATCATTCATTCGAATTAATTCATAAGCTGAATTCCTTAGGACTTTAAAAATGTTGAATTCATTACTTGTATAATTCATTCTTTAAAGGCTTAATTCCTTGCTGAATGATTTAAATTTTTTCGAATTCAAATCTATTACAAAATAGCTTTAATCGTTTTTTCTTCATTCATTTTGTAGGGGATTAATGAAAATTTTTTAAATAAAAATGTATATACATTAGGGGGTCTTTTGTTTTTAGTTTTTAATTTTATTAATTTTAATTTTATTTTAATTTCAGCTAATTAAATATGCACTATATTATATAAATAAAAACTATATTATAGATGAAATTAAAGTAAAATAAATATAGCCCCTATTTAATTTTACATAAATGACAAATCTTGTTCGAAGCATATTATTTATAAAGTTTTTTAAACGTTATTATTGTGCGCCTTTTAATAATATTTTCCAAATATAACTTCCATTCGAAAAAAGTTTGAACATATACATACGTATAAACAGAATTATAAATATTTCAAATTTGAAATAAATTTTAAATTATTTTTCAAATTTAAGATTATTTTTCCAAAATAATTGCTATCATGAGTGAATTAGAATTTTCATCTAATATGTAGATCAACCATTGATAAAAGTTATGCGGTTCCTAGGCAAAAGGAAACAAGAAAGGTTTATACGAAACCAAATATAACAAATGATATATTATTTAAGAACTATTTTCAAATTAAACATTTATTTGAACAATCCTAATATACACACATGCTTTAATATTTGTCATATAAATTATAATTTATTTGTTTGTAATTCAAATTTTCAAATGTACTATGTATTGGATATGGATGGAATGTATGTTTTCATTACAGAAATTCTGATTAGCGGATAAATCCTTATGCTGCAGTAAATACAATAAAATACTTAAATACTATGATTAATCAGAGTTCCTATAGTTAAAAAGTACATTATTCAGAAGGAAAATCTAGCACTATAAAAGGCGTTCATTGGCTGATTCTTTTGTGTTAGGGACCGATTCTGTTTTAAGCAAACATCAACGGACTTGTTATGTTTTACGATCATAAACTCATGGTCACATACTATGTATGTATGTTTGTTTGTATATTGTACATAAATGTTATGTATCTTTATTTGCAGCAATAATGTTATAACTTAAAAATAGAAAAATGTTCTTGTGCACAGAATTTGTGTTTATTATTAGTCAGAATTATCATTCTTATTATACAAACTTACAAATATCAGCTGTAAAATTAGTTATTTAAAACTTATACGCATACACTCTTTTATATAGAGATAAAAAACTTAAAATTTTAAAAACCTTGAAAGTTGAAATTTTAGTTTTTGAGATACAACACTCTGGCTGCAAACGAAAGCGTTTTCATTCAGTCTACTACAAATTGAATTTAAGAAAAATTTCGTAATTCAATTTGGAGTAGATTTGAATTAAAGAAAAATTGAATCATTCAAAGCGAAATGTAATTCAAACATGAATGAATTCAGTATATGAATGATTTAAAATAAACTGAAAGCCTTTGAATTAAGCTATTGAATTAATTCCTGAGAATTAAAATAAGGATTGGTAGATTAAATTTTATATTTCTGAATTAAGATTTTGGTGAATTAAGCTCAAATTGAATTGATTAATTCGAAGCTCTGCTATAAATACACAATAAATTTAAATAAAAATATATATATTTATGTTTAAATGTACGCAGTAGGTAGTATATATAAATGTTTTAAAAAAATGATTAATTAATATTAGCCATAAAATACACAAGATAAGGTTAAAAAATTAAATAAATGGAATTTTATTTAATTATATAAAAATTTTAATAAAATTAAATAAATTTCATTTTTTTATAAAATTATTTATGCTTTTTTTTGTGTGTCATTTTTAAAATTTTATTTTTGTTAAAGAAACTCATAATAAAATTAAACAATTTTAACAAATTTTGAAAGTGTTTCTAAAAGGTTTGTTTTTCTTTTGAATTGTTTTTTTTTTTTAATCTGGCGATTGTTTTGTTTTTGTTTTTGTCATATTACAAATATGTTTTGTATAATAGCCTTAAGGTTTCAATTACATTTATTTTGAATTTGTATATAATATATAGTTTTTCTTGTATATATATTTCAATGTATATAGAAACAAATAAATACATATGTTTATATAAAATATTTTTTGTTGTTTGTTTTTAAACCCCGGCTTTCCTTTGTTAACATAAATAAAAAAAATATTCATAAAAATTAAAAATTACGTTAATATTTATATATAAATATTGCTAAACTTATGTGATTTTCTTTTAATGATTTTTATACAGTTTTCTTTTTATACATAATCTGCTTTGCAAAATCTACTAAATAAATTTGTAATGATGATGATGATGATGTGTTTAACTATTTAGGCATATCTTGAGGAAAATCTATTTTTGTAAAGAAAAATATATTTTAAATAGAATTTTCAATAATAAGAAGGATTTGTTAGCGTGTCTAAGGTTAAGTCCTGTGACTAAAGTACAGATAACTCTCGATTGTCTAGACTATAGTCTCAACTATAGATTAGTCAAATGTCTCGACTATAGAATAGTCCATTATCTTGACTACTGACTGGTCGGTCTATTGCCTTGACTATAGATTGGTCTATGATCTCAACTATAGATTTGTCTATAGTCTCGACTATAGATTGGTCTATTGTCTCTACTATAGATTGGTCTATTGTCTCGACTATAGAATTGACTATAGACTGTACTATTGTCTTGACTATAGGCTGGACTATGGTCTATTGTCTTGACAATAGACTGGTCTATAGTCTCGACTTTAGACTAGTCTATAGTCTCGAATACAGAATAGTCTACTGTCTGGACTATAGATTAGTCTATTGTCTTGACTATAGATTGGTCTACAGTCTCGACTATAGATTGGTCTATAGACTCGACTATAGAATAGGCTATTGCTCGACTATAGAATTGACTATAGACTGGACTATTTACTTGACTATAGACTGGTCTACGGTCTTGACTATAGACTCGTCTATTGTCTTAACTATAGACTGGTCTATTGTCTTGACTATAGACTGGTCTATTGTCTTGACTATAGACTGATCTATTGTCTTGACTATAGAATGGTCTATTGTCTTGACTATAGACTGACCTATTGTCTCGACTATAGAATGGTCTATTGTCTTGACTATAGACTGGTCTATTGTCTTGACTATAGACTGGTCTATTGTCTTAACTATAGACTGGTCTATTGTCTTGACTATAGACTGATCTATTGTCTTGACTATAGAATGGTCTATTGTCTTGACTATAGACTGGCCTATTGTCTTGACTATAGAATGGTCTATTGTCTTGACTATAGACTGGTCTATTGTCTTGACTATAGACTGGTCTATTGTCTTGACTATAGACTGGTCTATTGTCTTGACTATAGACTGGGCTATTGTCTTGACTATAGACTATTGTCTTAACTATAGACTGGTCTATTGTCTTAACTACAGACTGGTCTATTGTCTTGACTATAGACTGGGCTATTGTCTTGACTATAGACTGATCTACTGTCTTGTCTATAGACTGATCAATTGTCTTGAATATAGACTGGTCTATTGTCTATTGGACTATAGAATAGTCTATAGTCTGGACTATAGAATTGTCTATAGTCTGGACTATAGAATAGTCTATTGTCTGGACTATAGAATAGTCTATAGTCTGGACTATAGAATAGTCTATAGTCTGGACTATAGAATAGTCTGGACTATAGAATAGTCTATAGTCTGGACTGGTCTATAGTCTATAGTCTAGACTGGTCTATTGTCTTGACAATAGACTGGTCTATAGTCTCGACTATATACTGATCTATTGTCTTGGCTATAGACTGGACTGTTGTCTCGATTCTAAAATAGTCTTATGTCTCGACTATAGAATAGTCTATTGTCTCGACTATACAATAGTCTATTGTCTCGACTATAGAATAGTCTACAGGCTTGACTATAGAACAGTCTATCAGCTCGACTATAGACTAGTCTACTGTGTTTACTATAGACCAGTCTATTGTCTCGACTATAAAATAGTCTGTAGTCTCGACCATAGCAAAGTCTATTGTCCCGACTAAAGAATAGTCTATTGTCTCGACTTTAGAATAAACTATTGGCAGCACTACAAAATAGTATTTTGTCTCGACTATAGACTAGTCCATTGTCTCGACTATAGACTAGTCCATTGTTTCGACTATAGACTAGTCTATTGTTTTTTCTATATACTGGTCTATAGTCGCGACTATAGACTAGTCTATGGTCTTGATTATAAACTAGTCTATGGTCTTGACTATATACTAGTCTATGGTCTTGACAAGTCTATGGTCTTGATTATAGCCCAAGTAATTAACTCTGCTTCTCGCCTATGACTCTGCCCAAATTAATTTCAAATTAAAAAAAAAACAACAAAATTCCTTATTACAAAAATACTAATAAGCGTTTTTAAGTTAAAATCTGGTTGTTTTGAAATCTTTATTTTAAAAGCTGGTAACTGTGTTTAGCTATTCCTGGAAAATGAATGACAAAATTCCCTTTTTCTATTATATTTTTCAGACCTAATAAGTGTGCATTACCATTCACCAAGTTTCTTCTTTTTTTTTTTGTTTAATTTAGCAACTGAAATTGGCAGTTTATAAACCGTCTGTTAAAAATGTATTCTTTCTGGCTAATCATTTGTATATAACTTTAAAAGTTTAAAACCCTTTGCGCTCTAGAACTTACACTCATACATAAAAAGTTTAAGCTTCGCTTAAATCACATCGATCATCGTCTAACATTAAACTCTCCTCTATAGCTTCTGCATCATTTGGATTCGAAGTTGGATGAGGTGATGAAGAACTTTCACCACAATTTGTGGCATAGACATGTGGTCGCTGCTGATTCGAATCGTCCGTATCGGGATCACGTATAGAATTGAAAGCATTAATAGCATTGGCATTTGGTGATGAGGTGTCTTCATTGGGTGGATAGACATGACGATGATAGCTGCCACCGGTCATAACATTACCATCACCTTCGAATTCAGCATCTCGTACACTACCAAAAGCGGGCGTATGTGAAGAACTTTTACGCATACTGGTCGGTGGTGACCAAACAGTTTGATAGAGTGGTGAAGCGAAGACATACATGTGATTTAGATATTCCATATCGTATGAAGGTTGATACGAATCCGATTCAAGGGGATTATAATATTGTGATGTTGATGGCTGATGCATGGGTGTTTGACGGCAACTATAGGGTCCCGATGTACCACCACCTCCTGAATAATGTGGTGTATCATAGTTTTGTGATCTTGTGGAAGAGATTAGAGGATAGGATGATTGCATTCCTGTAGGACGTGGTGGCATTGTGGCATAAATGCCACGGTATGCTTCGAATGGTGTCTGTGGATAGTAGGCATCAGACCAGCGCACATGATTCGGTGTATAATCACCTTTGGCATAGAGCTAAAAGAGAGAAAGGGCAAAATTGTAATGACAGAGCTAGAGTCTAGTATAAACTACACAGTCTGGAGAGACTATAAAATAGTCTATAGTCTGGACTATAGAATAGTCTATAGTCTGGACTTTAGAATAGTCTATAGTCTGGACTTTAGAATAGTCTATAGTCTGGACTTTAGAATAGTCTATAGTCTGTACTATAGAAGAGTCTATAGTCTGGACTATAGAATAGTCTCTAGTCTGGACTATAGAATAGTCTCTAGTCTGGACTATAAAATAGTCTATAGTCTGGACTATAGAATAGATTATTGTCTGGATTATAGAATAGTCTATAGTCTGGACTATAGAATAGTCTGTAGTATAGACTATAGAATAGTCTGTAGTCTGGACTATAGAATAGTCTATAGTCTGGACTATAGAATAGTCTATAGTCTGGACTATAGAATAGTCTATAGTCTGGACTATAGAATAGTCTATAGTCTGGACTATAGAATAGATTATTGTCTGGACTATAGAATAGATTATTGTCTGGATTATAGAATAGTCTATAGTCTGGACTATAGAATAGTCTGTAGTATAGACTATAGAATAGTCTGTAGTCTGGACTGTAGAATAGTCTATAGTCTGGACTATAGAATAGTCTATAGTCTGGACTATAGAATAGTCTATAGTCTGGACTATAGAATAGTCTATACTCTAGACTATAGAATAGTCTATAGTCTGGACTATAGAATAGTCTATAGTCTGGACTATAGAATAGTCTATAGTCTGGACTATAGAATAGTCTATAGTCTGAACTATAGAATAGTCTATAGTCTGGACTATAGAATAGTCTATAGTCTGGACTATAGAATAGTCTATAGTCTGGACTATAGAATAGATTATTGTCTGGATTATAGAATAGTCTATAGTCTGGACTATAGAATAGTCTGTAGTATAGACTATAGAATAGTCTGTAGTCTGGACTATAGAATAGTCTATAGTCTGGACTATAGAATAGTCTATAGTCTGGACTATAGAATAGTCTATAGTCTGGACTATAGAATAGTCTATTGTCTGGACTATAGAATAGTCTATAGTCTGGACTATAGAATAGTCTATAGTCTGGACTATAGAATAGTCTATAGTCTGGACTATAGAATAGTCTATAGTCTGGACTATAGAATAGTCTATAGTCTGGACTATAGAATAGTCAATAGTCTGGACTATAGAATAGTCTATAGTCTGGACTATAGAATAGTCTATAGTCTGGACTATAGACTATAGGACATAGTCTGGACTATAGAATAGTCTATAGTCTGGACTATAGAATAGTCTATAGTCTGGACTATAGAATAGTCTATAGTCTGGACTATAGAATAGTCTATAGTCTGGACTATAGAATAGATTATTGTCTGGATTATAGAATAGTCTATAGTCTGGACTATAGAATAGTCTGTAGTATAGACTATAGAATAGTCTGTAATCTGGACTATAGAATAGTCTGTAATCTGGACTATAGAATAGTCTATAGTCTGGACTATAGAATAGTCTATAGTCTGGACTATAGAATAGTCTATAGTCTGGACTATAGAATAGTCTATAGTCTGGACTATAGAATAGTCTATAGTCTGGACTATAGAATAGTCTATAGTCTGGACTATAGAATAGTCTATAGTCTGGACTATAGAATAGTCTATAGTCTGGACTATAGAATAGTCTATAGTCTGGACTATAGAATAGTCTATAGTCTGGACTATAGAATAGTCTATAGTCTGGACTATAGAATAGTCTATAGTCTGGACTATAGAATAGTCTATAGTCTGGACTATAGAATAGTCTATAGTCTGGACTATAGACTATAGGACATAGTCTGGACTATAGACTACAGGACATAGTCTAGACTATAGACTATTGTACTTATAGTTTACAGTCGGGACTATAGAATAGTCTACAGTCTGGACTTTAGAATAGTCTATAGTCAGGACTATAGAATAGTCTGTAGTCAGGACTATAGAATAGTCTATAGTCTGGACTATAGAATAGTCTATAGTCTGGACTATAGAATAGTCTATAGTCTGGACTATAGAATGGTCTATAGTCTGGTGTATAGAAAAGTCAATAGTCTGGAATATAGAATAGTCTATAGTTTGGACTATAGAAGATTCTATAATCTAGATTATAAAACAGTCTATAGTCTGGTGTATCTGGTCTCAATAATAGTCTATAGCCTGGACAGTTATTAGTCTTTGTTATCTACGAACTTACCTGTATAGGACGACTAAAACCTTTACTCAAATGTTTTGGAATGCCCAAAGTGTAACTATGACTAAAGCCCACTTCGGAACTTAGCAGATATTCATGAAATTTATTTGGATAGAATTCAATATTGTGATAATTATTGTAAATTTCCTCCTGCAAAGAAAAAAATGGAACATCATTAGTTAAAACAACATTAAAATATCCCTTCCAAAGTAATACATACCGTTAAGTTCTTCTTTTTCTTATAACTAGCCCAATTTTGAGCCTCCAATATCAATTTACCACCCGGTCTCAATTGATTAAACATACGCTTAAAGGCCAACTTAAGACCGGCATCACCGAAATTCAAATGAATCCATTTGGTAATGGACAAACATAAAATGAGATCATACTGCTGGGTATCATTGGCCAACAGTGATTCATCTTTTAGCACATAATTCGTTTGACGAAAGAAGACATTGTGGGGAAAATCATTTTTCGCTTTGGACTGATTAAGCTTATGCGTTGATGTTGAGTGTGTGGTATTGGCCTTGTGACTGGCCGTTGAGGTGGCCGGATGACCGGGTGTGCTGCGGGTGGTGGTGGATGTTGAAGCAGGTGATTGAGATTCAATATTTTGGGGACTAGTAGAGGCTTTGTTGGAAGTGTAATTGGTGGCAGAGGAGTGTGGTGGGGTAGTGGTGGTGGTTATGCCACCATAAGTGAGTGGAAATGATATAGGAAAGAAATCGGAGGCATCAACATTGGAATTCTCCTGCTGCAAATACAAGTGATGATGATGATGGTGGTGGTGATGATGATGCAGCAGATGATAGTGCAGTAAATGATGTTGGAATTGTTGCCAATTTTCATAGTGATTGCCATGGCCGTGGCCATGATGGTGATGATGATTGTGGGCTTGTTGTGGATGCTGCTGCTGTTGTTGCAGTTGTTTTTTCTTTTTACGTCGTCTACGTCCCTTCTTTTGCTTAACATCGCTCATATTGTTTGTGTTGTCCATGCTGTCTGTAGCTTCCATTAACTCTTTCTTTATCATCTCCTGTGGTATTCGCACATACATGGCTAAATTGCGTCTTGCTCTGGCAATCAATTCCTTGTCTATGTCTATGCCCAAAATAGATTTAGGTGCCAGCTTTCTAGCCACCGTTATGGTCATGTGACCCACATTACAGCCTATATCTAAAATATCCTTGTTCTTAAACAGCTCTGGATACTGTAAAAACACCTGCAAACGTATGTCCATAAATTCATTAAGATGCCTAAGGCCAGCATAACGATCATAATTGCCATAGCGGTACTGTTTGCCATCCGCTGGGAATTTGGGTAGAGATTTAATGGAAATGTTGGATGAAATCATTTCCTTTTTAACCGTTTCCGCTAAAATTAAAGCATTTTTGGTATCGACAGCTTCGCTGGTTAGTTCGCTTGTGGTTTCCGGCTCGGCGGCGGTGGTCGTGGAAGTGGCTACAGAGGCAGTACTTAAAGGACTGCCCAACAGAACACCAGTTTCTGCAAATATTTCCACTTTCGGCAATTCGGGTGTATCATCACGCGGTATTTCTATAAAATTTTAATATTTTTCTTAAAAAATGTTCTAATCTTCTTAATTACCTAAAAGTTACCCTCCACTAGCTGTTTGCTTGCTTCTTCTATGGGACTTAGATCTGTCTGGACACTTTCACTGATCGAAGTGGAACGGCGTTGAGATTTCCTCGCTCCAGTAGCGGTGGTTCGTGGTGGTCGCTTCCAAGCACCTGGCTGTGGCACCACTGGGCTAACAATTTTATCCATGGAATCCATGCGGAAATATTTCTGGAAATTTTAATAAGAAAACTCATTTCATAAAAAACTTTTATTAAAAGAAGTCTAATATATAGTCTCGACTAGTCGAATGTATAGAGTATAGTCTAGTCTATAATCTAGTCTATAGTCAAGTCTATAGTCTAGTCTATAGTCTAGTCTATAGTCTAGTCTATAGTCTAGTCTATAGTCTAGTCTATAGTCTAGTCTATAGTCTAGTCTATAGTCTAGTCTATAGTCTAGTCTATAGTCTAGTCTATAGTCTAGTCTATAGTCTAGTCTATAGTCTAGTCTATAGTCTAGTCTATAGTCTAGTCTATAGTCTAGTCTATAGTCTAGTCTAGTCTATAGTCTAGTCTATAGTCTAGTCTATAGTCTAGTCTATAGTCTAGTCTATAGTCTAGTCTATAGTCTAGTCTATAGTCTAGTCTATAGTCTAGTCTAGTCTATAGTCTAGTCTATAGTCTAGTCTATAGTCTAGTCTATAGTCTAGTCTATAGTCTAGTCTATAGTCTAGTCTATAGTCTAGTCTATAGTCTAGTCTATAGTCTAGTCTACAGTCTAGTCTATAGTCTAGTCTATAGTCTAGTCTATAGTCTAGTCTATAGTCTAGTCTATAGTCTAGTCTATAGTCTAGTCTATAGTCTAGTCTATAGTCTAGTCTATAGTCTAGTCTATAGTCTAGTTTATTGTCTAGTCTATAGTCTAGTTGTTGTGGATGCTGTCTAGTCTATAGTCTAGTCTATAGTCTAGTCTATAGTCTTGTCTATAGTCTAGTCTATAGTCTAGTCTATAGTCTAGTCTATAGTCTAGTCTATAGTCTAGTCTATAGTCTAGTCTATAGTCATGTCTATAGTCTAGTCTATAGTCTAGTCTATAGTCTAGTCTATAGTCTAGTCTATAGTCTAGTCTATAGTCTAGTCTATAGTCTAGTCTATAGTCTAGTCTATAGTCTAGTCTATAGTCTAGTCTATAGTCTAGTCTATAGTCTAGTCTATAGTAGTCTATACTCTAGTCTATAGTCTAGTCTATAGTCTAGTCTATAGTCTAGTCTATAGTCTAGTCTATAGTCTAGTCTATAGTCTAGTCTATAGTCTAGTCTATAGTCTAGTCTATAGTCTAGTCTATAGTCTAGTCTATAGTCTAGTCTATAGTCTAGTCTATAGTCTAGTCTATAGTCTAGTCTATAGTCTAGTCTATAGTCTAGTCTATAGTCTAGTCTATAGTCTAGTCTATAGTCTAGTCTATAGTCTAGTCTATAGTCTAGTCTATAGTCTAGTCTATAGTCTAGTCTATAGTCTAGTCTATAGTCTAGTCTATAGTCTAGTCTATAGTCTAGTCTAGTCTATAGTCTAGTCTATAGTCTAGTCTATAGTCTAGTCTATAGTCTAGTCTATAGTCTAGTCTATAGTCTAGTCTATAGTCTAGTCTATAGTCTAGTCTAGTCTAGTCTATAGTCTAGTCTATAGTCTAGTCTATAGTCTAGTCTATAGTCTAGTCTATAGTCTAGTCTATAGTCTAGTCTATAGTCTAGTCTATAGTCTAGTCTATAGTCTAGTCTATAGTCTAGTCTATAGTCTAGTCTATAGTCTAGTCTATAGTCCTAGTCTATAGTCTAGTCTATAGTCTAGTCTATAGTCTAGTCTATAGTCTAGTCTATAGTCTAGTCTATAGTCTAGTCTATAGTCTAGTCTATAGTCTAGTCTATAGTCTTGTCTATAGTCTAGTCTATAGTCTAGTCTATAGTCTAGTCTATAGTCTAGTCTATAGTCTAGTCTATAGTCTAGTCTATAGTCTAGTCTATAGTCTAGTCTATAGTCTAGTCTATAGTCTAGTCTATAGTCTAGTCTAGTCTATAGTCTAGTCTAGTCTAGTCTATAGTCTAGTCTATAGTCTAGTCTATAGTCTAGTCTATAGTCTAATCTATAGTCTAGTCTATAGTCTAGTCTATAGTCTAGGTCTATATTCTAGTCTATCGTCTAGTCTATAGTCTAGTCTATAGTCTAGTCTATAGTCTAGTCTAAAGTCTAGTCTAAAGTCTAGTCTAAAGTCTAGTCTATAGTCTAGTCTATAGTCTAGTCTATAGTCTAGTCTATAGTCTGGTCTATAGTCTAGTCTATAGTATAGTCTATAGTCTAGTCTATAGTCTAGTCTATAGTCTAGTCTATAGTTCTAGTCTATAGTCTAGTCTATAGTCTAGTCTATAGTCTAGTCTATAGTCTAGGTCTATAGTCTAGTCTATAGTCTAGTCTATAGTCTAGTCTATAGTCTAGTCTATAGTCTAGTCTATAGTCTAGTCTATAGTCTAGTCTATAGTCTAGTCTATAGTCTAGTCTATAGTCTAGTCTATAGTCTAGTCTATAGTCTAGTCTATAGTCTAGTCTATAGTCTAGTCTATAGTCTAGTCTATAGTCTAGTCTATAGTCTAGTCTATAGTCTAGTCTATAGTCTAGTCTATAGTCTAGTCTATAGTCTAGTCTATAGTCTAGTCTATAGCCTAGTCTATAGTCTAGTCTATAGTCTAGTCTATAGTCTAGTCTATAGTCTAGTCTATAGTCTAGTCTATAGTCTAGTCTATAGTCTAGTCTATAGTCTAGTCTATAGTCTAGTCTATAGTCTAGTCTATAGTCTAGACTATAGTCTAGTCTATAGTCTAGTCCACAGTCTAGTCTATAGTCTAGTCTATAGTCTAGTCTATAGTCTAGTCTATAGTCTAGTCTATAGTCTAGTCTATAGTCTAGTCTATAGTCTAGTCTATAGTCTAGTCTATAGTCTAGTCTATAGTCTAGTCTATAGTCTAGTCTATAGTCTAGTCTATAGTCTAGTCTATAGTCTAGTCTATAGTCTAGTCTATAGTCTAGTCTATAGTCTAGTCTATAGTCTAGTCTATAGTCTAGTCTATAGTCTAGTCTATAGTCTAGTCTATAGTCTAGTCTATAGTCTAGTCTATAGTCTAGTCTATAGTCTAGTCTATAGTCTAGTCTAGTCTATAGTCTAGTCTTTAGTCTAGTCAATAGTCTAGTCTATAGTCTAGTCTATAGTCTAGTCTATAGTCTAGTCTATAGTCTAGTCTATAGTCTAGTCTAGTAGTCTATAGTCTAGTCTATAGTCTAGTCTATAGTCTAGTCTATAGTCTAGTCTATAGTCTAGTCTAGTATAGTCTAGTCTAGTCTAGTATATAGTCTAGTCTATAATCTAGTCTATAGTCTAGTCTATAGTCTAGTCTATAGTCTAGTCTAGTCTATAGTCTAGTCTATAGTCTAGTATATAGTCTAGTCTATAATCTAGTCTATAGTCCAGTCTACAGTCTAGTCTATAGTCTAGTCTATAGTCTAGTCTATAGTCTAGTCTATAGTCTAGTCTATAGTCTAGTCTATAGTCTAGTCTATAGTCTAGTCTATATAGTCTAGTCTATAGTCTAGTCTATAGTCTAGTCTATAGTCTAGTCTATAGTCTAGTCTATAGTCTAGTCTATAGTCTAGTCTATAGTCTAGTCTATAGTCTAGTCTATAGTCTAGTCTATAGTCTAGTCTATAGTCTAGTCTATAGTCTAGTCTATAGTCTAGTCTATAGTCTAGTCTATAGTCTAGTCTATAGTCTAGTCTATAGTCTAGTCTATAGTCTAGTCTATAGTCTAGTCTATAGTCTAGTCTATAGTCTAGTCTAGTCTATAATCTAGTATATAGTCTAGTCTACAGTCTAGTCTATAGTCTAGTCTATAGTCTAGTCTATAGTCTAGTCTATAGTCTAGTCTATAGTCTAGTCTACACTTTAGGTTTAGTTCCAATTTTTGTGTTCACATAAAACACTGTTCTGTTTACTCTACTCACCTTTCCTTTCTGAGAATTACTCTCACTTATTTTACGTTTTCTACCACCGCCACCACCAGCACTTACAACCGAACTACCACATGAAGTGGCACTGGCACTACCACCACTACAAGTTGTGGTGGATACTAAATCCAAGCGTAAATCACGACATGCGCGTTCTCTAGCCACAGCTACATCTGAGAGTACAGCAGTAGCAGCAGACGAAGCAGCGGCATTATTGTTGCTGTTGCTGTTAGAAATGGACAACTCAACTGTGCTGGTAATTTCCTGTTTTTGTTGTAGTTCCTGAAGTTGTTGTGCTGGTAATGTAGGAATAGGAGGATTTTGTATAGTTTGTTGATCTGTTACTTTGATTTTATTACAATTGTCTTCGGTGGCAGTGTTGGTTGTGGCAGCATGGGCAACAGTGCTAGTAGTTACGGAAGCAGCGTTAGCTGTTGTATTAAGATTGTTGGCCATGTTAATGGCGATAGAATTATTTATGTTTTCAGTTATTGAGAGTTTTTCCTGTGGTGAATGTAACTCATTTTCTGTTAACTCTTCATCATCGCTACCCGCCGAATTGGCGGAGATGAGGGAATCTTGTCTGTGGCAAATATTTTCTACATCCATTGAGACGCCCTTTTCAGTACTTAAGGTGTTGCTTAAGAGATTAGTTGTGGGTTCATCCAATGAATCGATGGTGGTGGTAGTGCTGGTGGTAGAATTTAATGAATCATAACGACGTCTTTTGGGTTTACGATTTTTGCGATGCCTGTGCTTGTGCGATTTAGTTTGACCACCACGTAGGCCTAAAGCTAGAGAGGCTTGCAGGCTGATGCCCCGCTTCATGGGTGAAGTTAATTGCTTTTCATATTCCATAGAATCTACAGGATCCAATAGATGTAGGGGATCATGTATATTAGGCGGTATAATGACTTCCACTTTGGGTGGTGTGGTTATGGGCGATTGCCGGGGTGTGGTGGCCGGCGTATTATTGTTGGAGGAGGCATTTGAGGCCTCATTTTGCAAAGAGCTTAGATTTAAGGGATCTGAGATATTGCCGCCCAGTAGAAATTTCGTAGGCGGTATAAAATTGCCCTTACGTGGTCTTTTGTCCGGCAAAAAGAATTTGGAACGTAAGCAGCAAATATGTAGAGCTGAGGCCGCACTGGAGGCGGTGGAATTATTGGCTGAACTGGCGTCTTTGGTATTGTGAGAGGGACAACCATTAATGTGGCAGCAAGTTAGATTTGTGGCCGAAACAGCTCCGGCATTACCGGCTACCGGACCCACTGAGCCCAAAGTATTGTGAGCCGAGCCGGCACATAAAATATGATGATGATTACCACTCAAACCACCACTAGAGCGGTGTGGTGGCAAAGGTTTTTTATGCATGGGCTGTTGGTTTTGCTTGCAGTGGCCATGGCCATAACCTAATTTCTCCGAAGCCATGGCCGATAAAGCTAATGGTGGAAAACCAACACCACCAGCGCCTTGACCACCGGCTGACATACGTAAATCAATGCTATTAAGGGTATTGGAAGAAGCACCATGCTGTTGATTATGATAATGATGATGAGCATGATGTGGATGTTGGTGGTGATGATGATGGTGGTAATGACCTCCTACTTGATTTTTAAGATTTTGTATATTTTCCAAATCGGCTTTTGATGTGGCTGATAGATTTGTTTTCGTTGTTTCATTTTCATTATCTGGGCCATCATTTAGTATTGTTGTTGTGGCCGCTGCTGTTGCGGTTAAAACATTTGCTGGTGCTGCTGCTGTTGTTGCCGTTGTTGGATTCGTGGAGGAGGAGGAGGTTGTCTTCTTAGCTAGGGCGCTGGTGTTTGTGATGTTGTTGCTATTGTTTTGTTTGGCTGTTCTATGTTGACGTTTATTCCAACATTTATTCTTTTTATTATTATTTAGACTAGAACTGGCGGCACTGGTGGTTGTGTTAGCCGTACTATTATTGTTGCTGCTGCCAGCCGCTGATGATTTCTTATGTTTAACAAATTGTTGTGGTGCACGAAATTGATGTTGTTGCTGTTGGGATTTTAATTTATTTGTTGCCGTGGGCGTTGGTGTTGTTGTTGTAGCATGTTTAACAATAATTGTTGTGGCTGCATTTGTTGTTGCTGTTGCACTATCCATCATATGTTGAATATTTTGATTTTCATTATTTAATGTTTTATTTTTATTAACCGTTTCGATTAAAATTGTACCGGTTGTTTGACAATCACCAGGATTATCAAATTTCTTTAAAGTTTCCATTATATTTTTTCAATATTTATCATGGCATTGGCATGCATAACTTTTAAATATCATTTATTTTAATTAATTTCCTTTTTATCAATAGAGTTTTCTAAAAATTAAGCAAAATTTGATATGATTAAAATTAAATACTTTTAAAACTAAACTATAGTCCAAACTACAGACTAAAATCAAGATTATAGTCTAAACTATTACCAAAACTATAGACTTAGCTATAACCCAGACTATAGACTAAACTTTAGAATATACTTTAGACTATAGTATAGCCCAGACTATAGTCTAAACTACAGCCAGAATATGTACTAAACTATAGTCCAGACTATAGACTAAATTGTAGTCCAAACTTTAGAATAAACTATACCCCAGACTATAGTCTAAACTCTATATTAACTAAACTATAGCCTATAGAACTAGACTAGTTTAAACAATAGCAAGAATATGTACTAAACTAAAGGCCATAGTATAGACTAAATTGCAGCCAAAACTATAGACTAAACTATACCCCAGACTATAGTCTAAACTAAAGTCTATACTGACTAAACTATAGCCAGACTACAGACTAAAATATAGTTCAAACTATTGTCCAAACCCATTATAAACCAGACTATAGACTAAACTATAGACCAGACTATAAACTGTAGTCCAGGCTATAGTCTAGACTATAGTCTAAAATAAATCCTAGACTGACTACACTATAGTCCAGTCTATAAAATAAACTTTATCCCAGACTATAGTCTAATCTATAGACCAGACTATAGACTAAACTATAAATCAGAATATAGTCTAAATTATAGTACTGATTATGGAATAAACTATAGTTCACACTATAGTCTAAACTATAGTTCAGATTATTATCTAAACTATGATTCAGACTAATCTATAGACCAGACTATAGACTAAATTATAGTCAAGACTGAAGACTAAACTGTAGCCCAGACTATACTCTAAACTATAGTTTAGACTATAGATGAAATTATAGTCCACACTAGAGACAAAGCTATATTCTAAACAACAATCTAAAAACTAAATAATAAACCGGTATATAGTTCAGACAATAGGCTAAACTATAATCCACTTTATATACTAAACTATAGTAACGGCTGTGGACCAAACTAAAGCCCAGTATATAAACTAAACTATAGTCTACTTTATAATCTATAATCCCGATTGTATGATGTAAATCTATAATCGTTTTACATTAATAATTTCCCACTTTTCAATATTCGTTCAATACATTTATCAAAATTGATTTATGTGTTTTCTTTTCCACTTACTTCTTTTTATTCTCAATTTATTTGTTGATTCATTCACTTTATTATTACGTTTTTTTTTTCTTCATAAAAGTTTTATTTGTTTATTTTCTTTTTGCTTTCTTTTAAGCAATTTCCTTTATTCATATTTTATAAACCTTTATTTTAATATTTATTTGTTTTTAGCACTTTTTTAACATATTTTCACTTTGGAGTTTACAAAATTTTAAACTTTTAAGCGATTTTTTCACTATTTAACATTCCATTAATAAACATTTTCTTTTATTTATTTATTCTCAGGCAAAATATAGCCTCCTGTCGAGCAGGTAAACGGAAAAAAAACTCCTTGTGGCAAAAACACAGTCATCTAGAAAGAAAGGAAAAGAAGAAGAAAATTGAAAATTCAATATATTACATTGTATATTATTTATAAAAACACAATCTTGTTTAAACTTAACAATAATTTAAATAATAAAATAGCTGCTTGTAATGTTTTTTAAACATGCATACGAAAATTAACATAAAAGAGAGGTAAAACACATCAATTTTTTAAAGAAGGTTGTTTTTATTTTTAAAATAAGAAAAAAAAATCAATATTTTGTAAAGGAAAAGAATAAATCTTTGATTTGGATTATAGAATAATATATACACCAGCCTATAGATCTATCTATAGTCCAAATTAAAGGCTATAATTTAGACTATAGACTAATTTTAAGTCCAGTCTATAGACTAATTTATAGCCCATATTATAGACTAATTTACAGTCCAGACTATAGAGTAACGTATAGTCCAGACTATACAGTAATCTATAGTCCAGACTATAGAGTAATCTATAGTCCAGATTATAGAGTAATCTATAGTCCAGATTATAGAGTAATCTATAGTCCAGACTATAGAGTAATCTATAGTCCAGACTATAGAGTAAACTATAGTACAGACTATAGAGTACTCTATAGTCCAGAAAATAGAGCAATCTATAGTCCAGACTATAGAGTAATCTATAGTTCAGACTTTAGAGTAATCTATAGTCCAGATTATAGAGTAATCTGTAGTCCAGACTATATACTAATCTATTGTCCAGACTATAGACTATTCTATAGTCCAGACTATAGACTATTCTATAATCCAGACTATAGACTACTCTATAGTCCAGGCAATAGACTATTCTATAGTCCAACTATAGGCTATTCTATAGTCCAGACGATAGACTATTCTATAGTCCAGGCAATAGACTATTCTATAGTCCAGACTATTATATAGTCCGGACTAAAGACTATTCTATTGTCCAAACTATAAATTATTACATAGCCCAAACTATAGACTATTCTATAGTCCAGACTATAGACTATTCTATAGTCCAGACTATAGACTATTCTATAGTCCAGACTATTGACTATTCCAGACTATAGACTACTCTATACTCCAGAGAACAGACTATTCTATAGTCCAGACAACAGACTATTCTATAGTCCAGACAACAGACTATTCTATAGTCCAGACAGCAGACTATTCTATAGTCCAGACTATAGACTATCCTATAGTGCAGACTATAGACTATTCTATAGTCCAGACTATAGACTACTCTATAGTCCAGGCAATAGACTATTATATAGTCCGGACTATTATATAGTAGAGACTATTATATAGTCCAGACTATTCTATAGTCCAGACTATAGATCAGACTATAGACTATTCTATAGTCCAAACTATAGACTATTCTATAGTCCACGCTATAGACTATTCTATAGTCCAGACGATAGACTATTCTATAATCCAGGCAATAGACTATTATATAGTCCGGACTAAAGACTATTCTATTGTCCAAACTATAGACTATTCTATAGCTCAAACTATAGACTATTCTATAGTCCAGACTATAGACTATTCTATAGTCCAGACTATAGACTATTCTATAGTCCAGACTATAGACTACTCTATAGTCCAGACAACAAACTATTCTATAGTCCAGACAACAGACTATTCTATAGTCCAGACTATAGACTATTCTATAGTCCAAACTATAGACTACTCTATAGTCCAGGCAATTGACTATTCTATAGTCCAGACTATAGATCAGACTATAGACTATTCTATAGTCCAAATTATAGACTATTCTATAGTCCAGACAATTCTATAGTCCAGACTATGGACTATTCTATAGTCCAGACTACAGACTATTCTATAGTCCAGACTATAGACTATTCTATAGTCCAGACTATAGACTATTCTATAGTGCAGACTATAGACTATTCTATAGTCCAGACAACAGACTATTCTATAGTCCAGACTATAGATCAGACTATAGACTATTCTATAGTCCAAATTATAGACTATTCTATAGTCCAGACTACAGACTATTCTATAGTCCAGACTATAGACTATTCTATAGTCCAGACTATAGACTATTCTATAGTGCAGACTATTGACTATTTTATAGTCCAGACTATAGACTATTCTATAGTCCAGACTATAGACTATTCTATAGTCCAGACTATAACAAATTGTATAGGTCAGACTATAGACTATTCTATACTCCAGACTGTTTTATATAGACTATTTTATTCTATCCAGGCTATAGACTATTCTATAGTCCAAACTATAGACTATTCTATAGTCCAAACTATTGACTATTCTTTAGTCCAGACAATAGACTATTCTATAGTCCAGACAATAGACTATTCTATAGTCCAGACAATAGACTATTCTATAGTCCAGGCAATAATTAATAGTTCAGACTGTGCAACAATCTATAGTCCTAATTCTACATTATCGATATTTGGAACTTTCACCGATTTTCAATAAAATTTAAACTCTAATCAAGCAATATTTCGAACAAATTTAATGTTCATTCTTTCATAAACAAAGAACAAAATGTGATAACCTAAAAAAATACTTTCAACACGTATCAATTTCTACCAATATTCCCATTAAAAAGAAGAAATTTTTTCTTTACTTTAACAACTTTTGACACGACTTCAATTCTATTTTAAATAAAAAAAATAATAAAATACTTATTTCATTATTGTCAAAAAGTGTGAAATTTTAAACTTATTTTTGAACAAAATTTCCTTGAGTTTCAACTGCTGTCATAGACACCAGCAGCAGCAACAGCAGCAATATGAATATGATATGAAAACATTGAACATCATTGTCACATCCTTATGTCCCAAACATTAAAGATTCTGTGCAAGAGTAAATGATGTAATAAAATTTTCATGTTTATTTTAAATTTCTTTAGCAGCAGTAGCATCATGATGTTTGCATTTATTTTTTATGTTTACATAAGATTTAAAAGATAAAAATATTATTTTAAAAGAAATAACAACATTTTTGTAGTTTAATTTCGGAATAAATTTTAAAACAAATTTGAAAGTGAAAACCGCAAAACCACAAAAACCAACTTTATGACTCCTTCGGAAATGTTGAAACTCTAACACTTTATTATAAATAATTTTGTGGAAAACATACAGTGAAATCTTTTAAAAGTGGACTCAATAAAAGCATTATCTGAACTAGAATAAGTTCCAGTTCAGTTCTACTTCAGTTCTAGTTTAGTTCTAGTTCAGTTCTAGTTCAGTTCTAGATCAGTTCTAGTTCGGTTCTAGTTCAGTTCTAGTTCAGTTCTAGTTCAGTTCTAGTTCAGTTCTAGTTCAGTTCTAGTTCAGTTCTAGTTCAGTTCTAGTCAGTTCTAGTTCAGTTCTAGTTCAGTTCTAGTTCAGTTCTAGTTCAGTTCTAGTTCAGTCTAGTTCAGTTCTAGTTCAGTTCTAGTTCAGTTCTAGTTCAGTTCTAGTTCAGTTCTAGTTCAGTTCTAGTTCAGTTCTAGTTCAGTTCTAGTTCAGTTCTAGTTCAGTTCTAGTTCAGTTCTAGTTCAGTTCTAGTTCAGTTCTAGTTCAGTTCTAGTTTAGTCTAGTTCAGTTCTAGTTCAGTTCTAGTTCAGTTCTAGTTCAGTCTAGTCAGTTTCTAGTTCAGTTCTAGTTCAGTTCTAGTTCAGTTCTAGTTCCGTTCTAGTTCAGTTCTAGTTCAGTTCTAGTTCAGTTCTAGTTCAGTTCTTGTTCAGTTCTAGTTCAGTTCTAGTTCAGTTATGGTTCAGTTTTAGTTCAGTTCTAGTTCAGTTCTAGTTCAGTTCTAGTTCAGTTCTAGTTCAGTTCTAGTTCAGTTCTAGTTCAGTTCTAGTTCAGTTCTAGTTCAGTTCTAGTTCAGTTCTAGTTCCGTTCTAGTTCAGTTCTAGTTCAGTTCTAGTTCAGTTCTAGTTCAGTTCTAGTTCAGTTCTAGTTCAGTTCTAGTTCAGTTCTAGTTCAGTTCTAGTTCAGTTCTAGTTCAGTTCTAGTTCAGTTCTAGTTCAGTTCTAGTTCAGTTCTAGTTCAGTTCTAGTTCAGTTCTAGTTCAGTTCTAGTTCAGTTCTAGTTCAGTTCTAGTTCAGTTCTAGTTCAGTTCTAGTTCAGTTCTAGTTCAATTCTAGTTCAGTTCTAGTTCAGTTCAGTTCTAGTTCAGTTCAGTTCTAGTTCAGTTCTAGTTCAGTTCAGTTCTAGTTCAGTTCTAGTTCAGTTCTAGTTCAGTTCTAGTTCAGTTCTAGTTCATTTCTAGTTCAGTTCTAGTTCAGTTCTACTTCAGTTCTAGTTCAGTTCTAGTTCAGTTCTAGTTCAGTTCTAGTTCAGTTCTAGTTCAGTTCTAGTTCAGTTCTAGTTCAGTTCTAGTTCAGTTCTAGTTCAGTTCTAGTTCAGTTCTAGTTCAGTTCTAGTTCAGTTCTAGTTCAGTTCTAGTTCAGTTCTAGTTCAGTTGTAGTTCAGTTCTAGTTCAGTTCTAGTTCAGTTCTAGTTCAGTTCTAGTTCAGTTCTAGTTCAGTTCTAGTTCAGTTCTAGTTCAGTTCTAGTTCAGTTCTAGTTCAGTTCTAGTTCAGTTCTAGTTTAGTTCTAGTTCAGTTCTAGTTCAGTTCTAGTTCAGTTCTAGTTCAGTTCTAGTTCAGTTCTAGTTCAGTTCAGTTCCAGTTCAGTTCTAGTTCAGTTCTAGTTCAGTTCTAGTTCAGTTTTAGTTCAGTTTTAGTTCAGTTTTATTTCAGTTCTAGTTTAGTTATAGTTCAGTTCTGTACTAGTTCAGTTCTAGTTTAGTTATAGTTCAGTTTTAGTTCAGTTTTATTTCAGTTCTAGTTTAGTTATAGTTCAGTTCTGTGCTAGTTCAGTTCTAGTTTAGTTATAGTTCAGTTTTAGTTCACAAATACTTTTCTTTAAAAATCCCTATCAATCCGAAAAGCCTTAATATTTCTCTATATGTACGTATATGTATATGAATGAACAACATATCTACTTGGGACTTGGGATACAACAAAACCTTCAACATCCATGTACATCTGTTCAGTTATTTGCTTTTGAA